TGGCCGATTCGTTTCGCTATCCCACGGTTCATCCAGATTAAATTGCTTGTACAAATTTTTCTGGTCCAGTTGCGGTAGGATCAGCACGCGCCACGAATAAAGCGGCTTCCCATCGGCGTCGGTCACCACGGCCGGAGGCAACGTCCCATGCTCGTCGTGATAGGCATTCAGCGCGTCGCCGATGGTAAGCAGATTGTGCATCGCCTCGGAATACGGTCGTCGAGATGGCATGTTGACCGCCGGAAGCAGCAGCCCTAGCAGAATCAGAATGATAAAGACGACGACAACCACTTCGACCGGTGAAAGCCCCCACCACCATTTCCGATCGTCCGACGGTAACGGCTTGGGGAGCGGACTATCGAAGGGGTTCGGTTCGTTCATTACGTTTCATCCGGAGTGATTTTGTCGTCGCAGTACAGATACGGAATCACTTCGCTGGCATCCTCCACGCAGAGCCAATAGACCGAACCATCGGATCGCAAAATCGGATAGCCACGCTGCCCCTTGATTTCGATGGTCGGACGCACCAACAGTTCTTGCGGGCTAACATCGTACGGCTTCGTCCAGATGCCTGCCTTCTGCGGAAAATCGACCACCACTCCGGTTTCGTTCGTACCGTCGGTCACCTCGCTTAACGGCCTGCCAACGTAGGGACGCATGACAGTGCGTTCGTCCTGAGTATCGACAATTGCCAGGTAGGGCGTCTTCCCGACGTTCGCCCTATGATCGAGATAGGGGCTCTCGAAGAAGTACGGCATCTCCGCCACCAACGGCAAGTTCGTCTCGCTATCCCACGGCTGCGACAAGTCGAACTTCTCGTACAACGGCTGGTACTCGGTGAACGGCAAGATCAACACACGCCACGAATAAAGCGGCTTACCATCGGCATCGGTCACCACCGCCGGAGGAAATGTGCCGTACACATCGTGATAGTTCAGCAGCGCGAGACCGACCATCTTCAGGTGGTTCTGCGTCAACATCCGCCGAGCCGGTGTGACGCCAGACCTCGGGAACGGCAACAGCAGCATGACCAACACAAAGACAATCCCGACGATCACCAACATCTCAACGATCGTTGGCTTCCACACCCACTTCCCATCCGGCTCCGCACCACGCTCGCTCGGACTATCAAACGGATTGGCTTCGTTCATCATGGTTCCTCCGGAAGACGGCCATCATCGCAGTCGACAACACCGACCAATACGCCTCGATCTTTTTGGCCCACAAAGCGAATCGAACCGTCGGCCATGAGTAATTGAATTCCTTTTAGCTCGTTATCGTCGATCGGTGTTAACGCCAGCAACTCGAACGGATCGATATCTTCCGGCTTTGTCCACTCCACCAGGCGGCTCGGGTCGCCGATCACCACCGCCGAGTTCG